CGGTCAGTGCAGCATCAATTGCACGGTATTCAGCTTCGGTAGAAGATCGTGCTACCGTGTGTTGTTTCTTGACACTCCAGGAGATAAGAGTGTTCCCAAAAAACGTACAGTAGCCAGATGTGGACCGTCTTGTGTCCTTATCACCTGCCCAATCTGCGTCAGAAAAGGATTTGAGAATTGTAGATCCCTGCGAAATCGGTAGACCATATGTTAGAGTGCCACTGATATATCTTAATAGACGATACAGAGAATGAAAATGTAGAGGCATTGGATTGTGCATTTGTTGACACAGAGAGTTAACGACAAATGATATGTCTGGTCTAGTTAGTGTGAGATATTGCAGTGCTCCCACTAAATGTCTGTATAACTTTGGATCGGATTCAAGAACAGTTGATGTCAAAATGTCCGGTTGTTTGGTCTGAGAAGGATTTGCAAGTTGCTTGCATTTGGTCATTCCTGCAGTGTTAAGAATTTATTGAGCATATTTAGTTTGAGACAAAAAGAAAGAATTTTTGTTCCGAGTAATCTGAATGCCCAGAAAACTGTTTGCAAATCCCAAATGTTTCATATCGAATTTGCTTTTGAGTTTGTCTAGCGTGTTGGTGATCATGTCAGGACTATTTCCTGTGAGTAATATGTCGTCGACATAGATCACCATGTATAATTGCACTTCGTCTTTGCACCAGATGAAAAGGGAAGTGTCCGCTTTGCCTGCCACAAACCCGATGGATTGTAGATGAGTGGATAGTGTTTGGAACCACTGTCTCGGAGATTGCTTTAATCCGTATATGGATTTCTTGAGTTTACACACGTAGTGTGGATGATCGTCGTCCTCGAATCCTTTCGGCTGTTTCATAAATATTGTTTCATTTAGATTACCGTGTAAAAAAGCATTCGTAATGTCAAGCTGGTGTACCGGCCAGTTGTTAGTGATAGCTATAGTAAGAAAAGTACGAATTGTAGGAAACTTAGCTATGGGGATGAACGTCTCCAAGTAATTTACGCCATATTGTTGTGTGTTTCCTTGGGCAACTAGTCTTGCTTTGAATCGTGCTACAGTTTCATCAGATTTGTATTTTGTGCGAAATGTCCATCGACTGCCAAGGATTGACGTATTTGGCGGTAGTGGTACTAGATCCCATGTGATGTAAGATAGTTGTTGAAGGTAGAGTTCAAAAATTCTTTCCCACCATCTGAACGTAAGCATTTTATGTGATGATTCATTTGTTTTTCAACAAATATTTTGCATTGAACAAAAATAGAAAACACGTCAGACTTATTACGCATAGGAAACACCCAGGTAAATTTAGAAAAATCATCTATGAAAACTACGTAGTAAAGAAATCCTTGATGATAGGGGACTGGTGACGGTCCCCAAACATCCGTGTGAATAACTTGTAAAGGAACAAAAGATCTAGTCGAATGATGATTAAACACAAGTTTGTGGCCTTTGGAGGCAGTACAAGTTTTACACAAAGAAAAATTCTTTGGTATATGCAACAATTTATTAGAATTCGAAACTAGATGCATTATTTGTCTATTGGGATGTCCCATTCTCTGATGCCAGAGAAAGGCCCGGTCAGTAGAAACAGTGAGAGCGATCTGGTCTGTGTGAGAGTTGCTTGATCTAATCGGATATAATCCTCGTCTACTTGGTCCCTCCAGAATGATTTGATTTGTCGTCAAATCCTTAATGAGAAAACCGTGAGATCAAAATACACAGAGACATTGTTGTCTTTGGTTAATTGAAATATGGATAGCAAATTGTGTGATAAATTTGGAACATGAAACAATGATTGAAGTTTTAACTTACTGTTAGGTGTAGGAAGAATACCATTGCCGGAATGAGCAATCGGTATGTTCCTGCCGTCACCTATGGTGATGCTATCATTACTAGAATGCGACGCTGCTTGAGAGACGTTGTCAAGCGAGTGAGTCAAATGTGCAGATGCGCCCGAATCCAGATACCAGTCTTGATTCTCGTTTTCTGTCGCAGCGAGCATTGCACGAGATGCTGGAGTCTGTGATTCCGGAGGATTTACCGTCATATTTGATCGATGCCAGCAATTATTTGCGGTGTGTCCGCGTTTATTGCATATTTGGCATTGCACCGGCTGGCCGTTGCTCGATCTTGATGGTTGAGATGAATTTCTTCCTCTTCCTCTGCGTCCGCGACCGTGGGATGTATACAGGGCTGTGGAAGAATCTTGCAGAGATGTTGTTCGAAGTGAGTCCGCCTGAATATTAATTTCCTCACTTATTAAAAGTGAGTAGAGATTATCAAGATCTATAGGATGTAGCATCGTGCGTATTTACGTTTTGAATGCATTGTACGATGGTGGAAGCCCATTTAAGGTGTACAGAACTATATCTTCTTGATCAAGAATCATTCCGGCAGCTGATAAGTTGTCTGCTATAGTCTTGATTTGGGTAAGATATTGAACCATTGTTTGATTTGCCATCTTCACGTTGTGTAGCTCATTCCGTAGTTGTATCACCCTCGATCTGTTCGACAACTGAAGGCGTCGTTCGATGGTTCCCCAAATTAATGAGGTAGATTCCAGGTTGATGACATAGGGTAGAATGGTTGACGATATTGTCGAGCAAATTGCGGCAGCTAGGTTCTGATCAACGAGTACCCAGTCACGGTATTTTGGATTCGTTTCTTGATGACCCTCTAGTAGGTCAATGTACCTAGCTGGTGGAGATGCCGATGGAAGAAGAAAATCGGAAAAACCATTAGCCGTTAGAAGTTTGAGGATTTGAGAACGCCATACCAAGTAGTTATCAGCTGTGAGCTGCGTAGAGACAATGATTTTGATATTGGATATGACGAATTTGAGAGCCGCTAATTCACTATAATGTTTCCTCCTGCATTAGTGGCTACAGTGGAAAAAATAAAATGAATTTATTTATTTGGCCACTAATTCACTATAATGTTTCTTTAGACAAATTAGCATAGCCAACATTAACTATCTCGAGAGATAGATTAATGTCATACTATCGACTTGAATTTTTTTATTTTTTTTTTCACAATCAAACTCAGCATTCAGAATATAAAAATCCCCTCGAAGGATAAAATTCATATTCACCAGTCATTTTAATTATGAAATTAATCAAAGAATAAGATTTAGTCTACATTCAAATATTTTTTTCCCTTAGTAAACTAAAGTAGGGTTTATTTTGTACTGGGTTCTAGACTCTTTATAGGGGCAAGCTTCTATAATTAATTATATATCCGAAGAGAATACTCTTGAATAAAGTGAGGATTAGACTTTTTTAAATATATGAAGATTTAATTAAAAATTTTAGTTTAAAAGTTTGAAGATAGATTTATCATTTTTAGAAGAAATTATAGATTTAGAATTATTTAAGAGTCAGGGAAGATACACTGAGAGGTGTACAATCTTGGCTTGTATTTATCTGGAATGAGCTGCCAGCTAACATCTTAGAAATAAATCAACGTCTTATGCATGCAAGATAGGATAACTCTATCTTAAATTAATAGTCAAGGATTTTAATTTAGAAATTTAAATTAGGGCTATAATATGCAAATGAATTTAACTATTGCCATGTATGATGTATAAAGCAAATCCATAAGTAAAAATCTTTTATTAATTTATTTAGAAACATGAACAAGACCTGAGGTCTGCAAGGAAGTAAGGTGGTCAAGCTCCACCCCAACATACTTGGGTTTCTATACCTCTGAAATATATATGTTTAAATACACTTTCTTATCATCTTCTGGCTCCGAGTCTTCTTATAGAATTCCAAAAAGGGAATACCCTCAAAGGGGTAGGGAATTATCTTTTGGAGTCTTATATGTATATATAAACAAATAACTTTAAAACTTTACAACTCATTAACACTTTACAATTCAATCTATATACATTCTAGACAATTTATATTTACATTTGATCATTTGTATCCACAGTTGCACCTAGGTACATTCTACTTTGCTTCTCTTTGCAATAAAGAGAGATAACGTGAACATAAATACAATGCATGTGTATGCAAATAATATGATTTTGCGATCAAATTTTTTTGAATATGTAATTAATTATTTGTATATTGATTCATATTTTGCTCCATATGGTTTGTAATTCGAACTCCATACATAAATTTTTAGAAGATATATATCAATTTTATGGTTTAGTTTATGTTGTTTGCAATCCAATTTCATGCACAAAAGTCGGAGAAAATTTTAATTGATTTACATTTCATTTGATGTGCTGTCTATTTGTTAAAAGGTGATTCTTGCCAATTAGTATTTTAAATTTATTCATAAATATTAGATTGCAATTTTCATATAATTTCTATTCTTTCTTCTCTATATTTATATAGAAGCATTGAATTGATGTCAAACAATGAAATAAAATGGGTTTTTGTATGTATGTTAATTGTCCAAAACTATCATATGCTAGGCTTTATAATTTAAGATAAAATTTATTATTTAAGTTGAAATTTTATTAGAAATGTGGAATTATATCCCAAAGGGTCATGACTTATGATTTTAGGTTATCAGAAATTAAAACCAAGATAAATCACTACAGAGTAGTGTTTCGAACTTAGTCTAATGATATGCAAGATAAGGAAATGAGCCTTATATCTTTGACTCTTAAAAGAGTTTTATGAATACTCAACACTTGTGGACTTATATTTCCGCGTGGATTGAAAATGTCAGCAAACTCCATTTAGCATTTTAAAATTGACTCAAGTATTTATAAAAGATAGGTAAACTATTATTTATTTTGAAATGAAATTGACATCTAAGAAATACTAAAACATGAATGGTTGGTTATACCAATAAGCTAATTCAATTATTTTTTTATTTTTAAATTGTTTTCCAATGCAATATATGATAATTAACTCTATGTAATAAATAAGAATTTGAAGTTTTTAAAAAGCTTAAAAATAGGTTTTATCTTAAAAGAGCATAATTCTCATGAGTTAGAGCTACACCTTTGTAAGTCGGGTGGTTTATTTCTACCGCAGGTGGGAGCTGCCTATTAAGGAAAGAAGGAAGGATATGTTTATGAGATCCCAAGAGGTTCCCGACTTACTTTCTAGACTGATTATTTTGTTAAGCCTAATGTTTTCTATTCGTAATTTGAATGACAAAAATTTAGGTAAAAAAATACATGCAGAAATAAATTTAGAAAATCATGAGTTCTAGTGCGCACAAAAGTAAAAACGCTACAACAATGACTAAATAAATAAAATGTAATGTTTGATGTATCAAGTGTCACTTAATACAAATCAGGGTTTACAGAAAGTAAAGGTGGTCAAGTTCCCCTGACAAGAACCTGGATTTCTAAACATATGAATGATATAAGTCTTTTTACAAAATAAATTGATTTATTTATCGGTCTTCGAGTCTTCTGTCACCGATCATCTTCTAGAAAGGCTTTCAAAAGAAAGAAAATCTTCTAAGTGTGGAAGAGATCTCTTTGCTTTTGATTCCTTTAGTTCTTTGGATAAATAAACCAATTTCATAAAAAACTCTCACAATAATTCAAATTAAAAATTTAAATAAAAAAACTCTAAGTACTCCCTATATGGTTAGTATGAAAAAAAATTATAATAAGTAATCATCACATAATCAATGTAATATCATTTGCTCACATCCAAGTAGCATGCATGTGTATAGGCCATGCTTTTAACAATTAGGGGGATAAAGCATAAACAAGCACTTGCATAAGATTATATTAATTTAAAATTTTAATTCTATTTTAGCCCTGCATAAGTATTACCATCTGCATAAGTTTGGGTTAACAAAGTGAACATCCAGATCATTCCTAACCTAGAGGTAATCTAATATGTTCATCACAAATCACAAAATGTCATAACAGAATCTATCACATCTAGCCACAACAAATAACATCATATATCTACCAAGATGAAAATAAATTTCACATTTCATAGAAGTACACAAAATAGCACTACCCTAACCAAATGCTAGAGTCTATCACTCTAAAAAATAATTCTAAGTGTGTGCTAAGCTATGCAGGTGTTAATCTATAAAGCTTTAAATTTTATTCTCTACTTTAATGAATTTTTAAAATTTTAAGCTGATTTGAAAATTAATTTAATTTTGGGGTGAGAATGAAATGGAAATTGAATTATTTATTTAGTTTATTGTTCATTATGATTTTATATGCTTATAGAAATTTATTTAGATTTTTTCTGATTTTTTTAGATTCTTAATGGATTTTGGAATATTCAAATTATTAATTATGCTATTATTCTTTTTCATTTTAGCTTTCTCTCTCTACTATTGTTTTGATTTAATATTGTGTTTAAATTTGAATTTGTTTGCTTTTTTCCATTGGTCTATTTTAACAGATGATTTCAGTATGATTAATTTAGTTTTATTTTACTTGGTTTGTTTTATTTATTTTCATTTATTTTTCAAATTAGCTCCATATTTTGTTTAATTTAATTTGATTGTTATATGTAATCAATTTTGACTTAGCATAATTATGAACTTTTAAATTGTTTATTCATGAATGCATGATTGATCGTAGTTGAATTAGATATAGGTTGTAATAGTTACCACAGATTTTTTTTATATTCAAAGTGTGTATTCAATTTGTATTATTTAAATTGCTTATTGGTGTATAATATAATTTAACTTTTTTTTTTCAATGAGTAATTCAATATGAATGTTTATAATTTATTTCATTTTGCTTAGCCGACCCCACGTAGTGGGATAAAGGCTTGATGTTGTTGTTGTTGTTGTTGTTGCTTAGCCTCATCTTTAACTTAGGTTCATTATATTAATGGGTCTCATTTAATATAACTAATTTTATAGTTTTAAATTTATGTCTACAAGATAGATGTTATATCTTAATTATTTACATCGTCCAAATTTAATTTATTAAAATTATTGAAGTGAATAAATCACTAATTATTTACACATTTTGTTTCATTTTGCTAATATCTAAATGAACGTAGACTATGTCTAGATAATCAAGTCTACGCGCTCCTAAAACTAACGAAAACTCATTCATGCAACGATGGGTTATAAGTTTATAAAATAAAAAATAAGATTTCTACAGGGCTCTAGGGTTTGGAGAGCGTAAATGTACATAAAAATGTTTAAGAGACCTAGTGCTTTCTAAGTTTCAAGAAATTCACCTCACCCGAGCTATTGTTCAGTGGATTACGACCGTAATATCTTCATTTGGAAGAAATGAAAATGAATAAGCTCCTTTAACTCGCCATATTGACTCTCCACGGTCCCTCACAAAAGCATAAGCAAACAAGTGAAGCAAATAGTGTGTAGAGATGTACCTCACAAATAACAAAAAAAGAACATGTATTAGCATGAAGTGTATTTGAGTTTCTAAATTTATGCGTATGCAAATGTCATAGGTGATACATGAAATAAATGTGTGGCAATATATTAAAGAATCAATGTATTTTAAATATCATTTGTAATATCATTATAAAATGGCTTTTTTTAATTCAATGAAGAAAATTTGTTGGAATAATTTGATGAGTATTAGAAATCATGTAGTGCATATATATTTAAATGTTCTGATGGTAAATAGCACAAATTTGTAATTTAGAAATTCTATTCTGAGTAATAATTTTTTTTTATGTCAAATAATCGTATAAGTATTGATTCATTGAAAATATATACCTGAAAGATTTTCATACTCAAAGTCTATCGAAAGAAAAACAAACCGAAGTTGATATTGTAATTAGATATAGATAATTGTATAATTTGAACCAGTAATTAAATTTTTATTAGCTTGCTCTTAATGTTAGTGTAACATCAAGAATAATTTTAAAGATGTAACTTTTTACTTCAGTTAAAATTTCAAATTCGTTTTATCAGAATTCTCGAATTGATTAATCTCTAGTCTATTATAATCAAATGAAATTATCAAATTAGATCAGAGAAAATATACCTTGCAATAGGAGATTCTTCTTGATAACATGGCATGTTAATGCTTCTGCATTTAATTTTCCATCATAATCTTCCTCTCTGGTTGCTTTTTGAACAAAAGAAGCACTATGTCGAAGAATGTCAAAAATGATCCAATATATATATATTCTATCAGGAGCCGGCCCATGTTCCAAGTTCAGGGGTAGAATTTGTTTCTGTTGATAATATCAAAATCCGGATCTTCTAATATAAAGTGTTGATTGTAAGGTATTGCTGTTCTATGGCCCATTACAAATCGGCTTGGAGTTGATAATATCTATCTCAAAAATTCTCTAATAGTTAATTGCATTAACTATTTTAATATATTGAGCATGTTTGATTCTATCTTCCTTTATTCCAGCATCGGAGGATTAATGCATTGTTGAATCTACTGAAAAAAGTTCTGATGCAGTGCAACACATGGAGCCGGGTTCAATATACACACGCCACACTCCACTATCTATTTTCTATTTTTATTTACCACTACTTAAAAACTACTTGACTCTTCTAGTTAGAATAGTACCTATTATCTTTTTTTTCTGTATTATGCAAATATGGAAAGGGGAAAAAGGGATGGATACATATACTCAGAAAGAGGATAAATGGAATATAGAAGAAATATACAAAATTTCACTATTTTCTCTTTTTCATTTTGTTTTTTTATTTATTGATTTTGCTTGCAGGAATCTGGGTATTCTTGGTACAAGTTATCACACCAAATTGGTATCAGAGATTCCCTAGCTTCTTGGCAGGGCATACAATGGCAGAAAGAAACCCTCGTACAACTCTTGGTGAAGACCGGAGTATTGAAGCCCTGTGGGCTGAACACGCCAAAATGGTGAGACAGCTGGAAGACCTCTTCACAAATTTTTATCAATTTGCTTTGGAAATATGAAAGAAGATGCAAACGAACATACACGGTGTAGCAGGAAATCCTGCATTTCTCCGGGCAGCACCAACACCCATACCGGCAGCTCGCTGGGATGCCATTGGTCTAGGTCCTGGGAGACAACGACATGGCAATATTCCCGAACCTATTGAGTCAGACAATGAGGTGGATCAGCCACAATATTTGATCTTTCTTATTCCGTTGAGGATGATTATGCCTTACAACATCAGTATAGACAACCGGTTGATAAAAACCATAGACATAATGAAGAGTTCGTGTTAAACTCGATATCCCATTCTTTGACGGAAGGCTACACATTAAAGATTTATGGAGATTCCCGTAGAGAAGCAAGTGAAGTATATAGCCTGTCGATTGAAGGGGGAGCCAGCGCTTGGTGGCAGCAACTCTTACAGATGCGACGAAGAGAGGGCAAAGGAGGTGTCCATAATTGGTTTTGAATGAAGCAGTTGTTATGGGGCCATTACCTTCCAACACATTTTGAACAGATAATTTACATGCAATATCAACATTTTGTCCAGAGGAACCACAATGTTATAGATTATACTGAAGAATTCTACCATCTAAGTGCAAGGAATAATCTTAATGAATCTGAGAACTTGTTGGTAGCTCGATATATTGGTTGGTTGAAGGAAAATTTATAAGACAAACTAGAATTAAATTTTGCACGGTCCCGTTCTCAGGCATAAATCTAATTAATTCCCTTCAAGACCTCAAATTCAACTTGATGAGGGAGAGCTTGAAAATGATGAATTTACGTGTGAAGAAGAACAAGATGCAAAGACCAAAGGTTTGGAGGCTGACGAAGGAGATTTTCTTGTATAGATTGCTACTAGCTCCACGACAGCCCGTTGATTCCCAACGAAATCCCATCTTCCGCACTCGTTGCACCTTAAATGGTAAGGTCTGTAAACTCCTCATTGATAATATGTGTATTGAAACTATAGCATCCCGGTCGCTTGTGCAAGCTTTACAATTGAAATTTTAGACAAATCCAAACCCTTACAAATGAGTTGGGTCAAGAAGGGAATGAAAAGTCTAGTTATTGAAATTTGTCTGATCACATTTTCAATCGGTTAGCAACATGTGTGTGAAGTGTTGTGTGATGTCATCGATATGGATGTTGGTCGCATAATCTTAGATCGGCCTTGGCAATATGATATTGGGGCGACATATGATTACCGGAATAACATTTATTCTTTTGATTGGAAAGGTAAAAGGATTCTGTTGCTACCCTATGTTGCTGAACCGAAACACAACAAGGAGTCCAAAACAACCCTCCATCTTGTCTCTGGACCTGCTTTGATAATAGCTAGCTGTGTGAGTAATTCTATTTTTGCTTTAGTTGTTACTGATTCACAAAATGTCAAGAGAGAAGAAACACCTCCAGAAGCCATACAACAGTTATTAAAACAATTTGAAGATGTTTTTTTCCACTGAGCTACCATATGGATTACCTCCTATGTGGAATATTCAGCATCAAATTGAATTTACAACAGGGGCGGCATTACAAAACCTTCCCCATTACAAGATGAGTCCTAAAGAGCATAATATGTGTTGTTCTGGCTCTTGGTCCCTAAGAAAGACAATAAATGGATGATGTGTATGGACAGCCGAGCAATCAACAAAATCACTGTGAAGTACCGATTTCCAGTATCTCAAATTGACTAACTTATGGATAAATTAACAGAGTCTAAAGTATTCACCAAGTTAGATCTTCTAAGTGGATATCATCAAATTCATGTTCGCCCAGGTGATGAATGGAAGATTGCATTCAAAATGCGCCAATGATTATATGAATGGAAGGTAATGTCATTTGGTCTATGTAACGCACCTGCGACATTCATGTGACTCTTGAAAAAAGTATTGAAACAATTCTTAGAAAAATTATGTGTGGTTTATTTTGACGATATCCTTGTTTTTAGTACATCGCTGGAGGAGCATGTGTTGCATTTAGCTAAAAACTTTCAAATTTTGAGGGCACACAGGTTATATATCTTAATATAATAAAGTGTAAATTTGCTACGAATAGTGTATACTTTCTTGGTTTCATTGTTTTGACAGCATGCGTGGAAGTAGACCCACGCAAGGTTACTGCCATTATGGATTGGCCAATCCCAAAATCATCATTATTTGACATTCACAGCTTCCATGGACTTGCAAATTTTTATCGCTTATTTATTCAAGAATTCAGCATTATTATGGCACCAATTATTGATTGCTTGAAACAAGAAAAATTTTATTGGACAAATGAACAACAATGGAGATTTGAAAGTATTAAGACAACTTTAAGTTCAGCCCCTGTACTTGCTCTGCTGGATTTTGATAAGCCATTCCAGGTGGATACTAATGCTTCCATAATAGGAATTGGTGTTGTTTTATCACAATCGGATTAGCCTATAGAATATTTCAGTGAAAAGTTGAGTCCAAGTCGGCAAAAGTGGATTGTTTACGAGTAAGAATTGTATGATATGGTGAGAGATCTAAAGCATTAGGAACATTATCTACTACACCAGGATTTTTGTTTTATGCAGCGACCACAAAGTCCTTCAGTTTATAAATACTCAGAAAACAGTAAGTAGGATGCATTCGTATTGGATTTTATTTTTATAGAAGTGTACCTTTGTCTTAAAACATAAATCAGGCAAACTAAATCACACTTAGCAGGCGAGCTGCTTTGTTAACACAATTGCAAATCAAATTAACTAGACTAGAGTGTCTAAAAGAGTTGTACTCAGAAGACAGACTTTTCTATTATTTGGAACTGGTGTACATGCGCAAATCCCATTGAAGACTACTTGATTAGACATGGATTCTTATTCAAAGACAATTTACTATGTATCCCGGAGTCTTCCTGGAGGCCGCAATTGATTAAACACGCCCATGGGGGCAGGCTGGCAGCACATGCGGGCAGAGAAAAGACTTTCCTATAGCTACAATCCCTTTTTTTTGCCACAACTATGGCGAGATGTGCTGAAAAGGACATTCACAAGATGGAGAAGACCTAATGTACCTTTGTTTATAGGGTTATGCCCATCAGGGTAGAAAGAGGCAAATGTTTAGGGCATTTAGTTTAGAGATTAGTCCTTTGAATTATGTGATCGAGTTGAGGGCTCCATTAATGTAATTGTTATACTTTTTGGCCATTGAACAAGTGTCAGTAGTGCTTATAAGGGTGGAATTATTCATAGATATGACATCAAACTATTACTTGTTAGAAATTTTATAACAGTAAAGTGAGAGAATTTTATGTCATAGTTTTGTATGAAGATCCCACACAAATCGAGAAAGCAAAAGAACATTGAAGCTACTCAAGTTTTTACATGAAAAACTTGAAAGAGAAAAATCATAGGGTTTGGCCTAAGTGAAATAATTCCACGATGTGAGCAATGGTTATAAATATCTGCTCGTCCCTCAAATTGAAGAAGGCGATGTTATAATATTATTGAGTTTCTGGAAGAAAATATCATAGAGTTGATAGGGGAATGAGAGAAGTTTAAATGGTTGTGGCAGAGTGGTAGTGGTTTGACAATTTTGGTCAAGCTATGACGGTCCAACAATGGTTTTCTGGCTACATGGTGCTCCAACGATGCTGGTCGGGCAGTGATGGTTTGATGACGATGGTCACGCTTTAGCGATCTGATGGAAGGAATCTAGCAACAATAGTGGTTCTATTACAATAGTTTGATAATGATGGTCGGAGGCTATGGTATGACAATACTAGTTTGATGATGGCAAAGGTTCCACAAAAGTGGTTCAGAGGCAAAAGTCTGATGAGGGTGGTCGGACGGCGGTAGTTTGACAATAATAGTTGGGCTGGGATGGTTCGATGGTGAGGGTTAGGTAGCGGCAGTTCGACGATGGATGTTAGGCGTCGCTTGTCCGACGATAGAGATCTAGAAGTCCAACTGCACCCATCGAGCAGTGATTGGGTAGTGATTCGACGACAACGATTAGATGATGGTCTAATGACAATGACCGGGTGATGGTCTTGTAATGATACCACGATGGTGATCCTACAACGATAATCTGATAGTGGTGCTCGAGTGGAGATTCAGAGTTTTCTTCATATTATAAGCTCTCATGAATCTCATGCCAAGGGCACCTTTAATGTAAATAGTGGAGACCTATTTATATATTTTCAGAGTTTTACGGCCTATAAATGTAACCAAAATTCGTAGCACTCTATCAGAAGGCACATATTAATGCTTTTAATCATAGATTATTCATTAAACATTTATGTGCTTTAATTATATTAGAATTAAGCGATAATGAGCTTGTTAAATTCGTCTCATAAAAACACTCGATTTGGTGTTAAGTACAAAATATGGAGATCATTTGGCCCTCCAATTAATGTCCCGCAATGTTCAAGTATGTTCTAAGTTCTTGATCTAGGCTCATTTGAGCTCAAATCTAATCACTTTTTTTATTGCTAGGTTCGTTTTGTCCAGCCGATCGATTTGACTTTAAGTATGTTGAAATAGGAGTTTGAAAAAGCCTGGATTAGAATTTTGAAATCTTCGTACTTCATATTGCAGCTAGATTCGTTTTTGATGAAGTTAGTGACATCAATTTTATTTTTTATTTTTATTGTTTATTGCTTCCTTTCAACATAAAATAGTTGCTGATTCATGATAATTTTCCTTTTTAAGGCAAGGAAGACTGAAAACAAAAAGGGATAGTTTAGCTTTCGGATGACCATTTTTTAATTTAGATGACCAATGGTATAATCTGCAGCATATGAGCACATTAACTCAATGTCTTGTGGATGCTAAAGTTCTCATCAATATTCTTAAGGAAATTAGTGACGGAGATCTGACGGTTTGGTTTGTGCTTGTCAAAACCGCAAATCTAATGTGCTATGATGAGCAAATTAGCAATTTGGTTTGGTAATTTGACGTCTTTTTGCTTTATTTCTTTTATTTTGTTGTTTTTTTTTTTAATTTTAGCATGTTTGTCAATATGTCATGATGCAGCATATTATCCAAGTGCTTATTCTGATGCCTTTTGCATGAAGATCAGTATTAGGAAAAAAGATATTAGAGGCTGTTTTCATGGCATATTATTCATGAGAAACCTCTGACAATGGTGAACAATTATCTGATCCTTTGAGAAAGTTGATTTTGATTAGAAACAATTAGATGTTTATAATAGAAATTTTTTATCCATATTAAAAGCTCTTTTTGGTTTAGTTAAATTTCATTTGCCATTCAATTTTTTAGTTCATAAGTGTGGTGCAAGTGTGCATATAATTTTTTAGGAACAATGATTTGGCTGGGCAAGTGTGATTTAGGTTTCATTTGGGACAGCTTTCTTATTGTTTTTTTAAGTTATCTTTTTGATACAAATATTTTTTGAATTTGAAAATTTTTTATTAAAAAGCTGCTTTAGAATGTAGTAATAAAGCTATCTCAAATGAAGCCTTAGGCTTCGCTGGGACGGTTTTCTTACTGCTTATTAAAGTAGTTTTTAGTATACAAAATTTACTTGTTGTACTAGAAAGCTGCTTTTAGAAAATAGTAAGAAAGCTGTCTCAAATGAAGTCTTAGGCTTCGTTTGGGACGGCTTTCTTGTTGTTTCTTAAATTCAGCTTTTAGTATAAAAATTTTAATTTTTTTATACTAAAAAATCGTTTTAAGAAACGGTAAGAAAGTCGTCCCAATCAAGGCCTTAGTCTCATGGTACAATTATTATTTTGGACAATTTACATTCAATTGAGTTGCTTTCGATGCCTTTAACCAAATTTTTTATTTGATAAATCTTTAGATTAATGTTTGACTTGGATTCTATATTGCCTTAAAAAATTAGTAGATAATAGTTTAATTAATGATCTTCGGAACTGTAAATTTTAAAGCTAATTCCTTACGCACATCATTTTGTTGCATTAAAAAATACTGTATCCACAACTTGTGAGATCCACATTTACGTGCAGAACATTATTATATATTTGAAACTTCACCAAAACTATGACTATCATGCATTTAAACCTAACCCCTCCGGAAATTTTGACAGTTTGTTCATATAAATATGATAAAGCTAAATCTATTTTTTTCTCAGAAGTTTACAGGCCACTTGTTTTCAACTCTAATGCTGTCAGCATCTAATTTTCATTTTCAAGTTGATTTTGTTCTATTGAGATGCATACAATTTTGCATCCATTATTTTTAGGGTTTTGTTCTATTGAATTTATGGCGCTGAATGTTGGCCATTAAAAGAGAAACATAATACTAAGTTAAGTGTTGCAGAGATGAGGAAGCTCAGGTGGATGAGTGACTTTACCCTTAGAGATCGGGTATAAAATGAGCATATACGTGAAAAGGTTCGAGTAGCGCCAGTTGAAGATAAGATTAGAGAGAGTTGTCTTAGATGGTTTGGTCACATAAAATGGCGGTCTTTCGATGACTCGGTTAGGAAAGTAAAGGTATTAGATTTGACTTACCTTAAAAAAGGTAGAGGTAGACCTAAAAAGACTTGGTTAAAAATATTAGAAATGATCTTTCTTTTTTAAATTTAAACGAGAATTTGACTTTTAATAGGACACAATGGAGAAAAATGATTCATGTAGCCGAACCCATGTAGTTGGACAAAGGTTTGATGTTGTTGTTTTTTTTAGGGTTTTGTTAGGGGGAGATTAATTTGATAAAAATTTTGAAATTTACCGTTGTTGCCTGCATCAAATTTTTTTTATATATATTATGTTCTTACTCAATGTAATTCTCTGAAAAATTATGAAATGATTTTATTTCTTGCCTTTATCAGTGCAGCATTCAAATTGAACAGTAGAAGACTATTTGATCAAATCACGAGGACTGATGATGATGATGAAAGCTGCATGTATGGATTTTTTTTTTTTCTTTTATCAACATTGAGAAGCCTAAAGGTAACAATATTACAATAGATTTCACTTATTTATTTTTGACATAGATATTGTTTCAAAAATGAAGGTAATATATTACCATCACTTAGGTGCATTTTATCATAGTTGGTGATCTATTTACTTAGTATATTATCTTTCTGAGCTATTAGTCTTCCCTCGTGCATCTAAAAGAATATTTTGTCAACATTTACTGTGGCATATAAATTGATTGCTTTGCAAGTTTAATATGTGAAGTAAATTTGGTTTACCATAAATTTGATCGCAGCTCTCTTTGATTTATTGGTTGGAAGTTTGAAGCACAACTAAGAGGTCTTGAATTCAAATCTGATATATGTGTTATATGTGATTGGGCGTTGCCCCTAATCCAAAAAAAAAAAAAAATTGACCGCTTTTATTGATTCATCAGATCGAACATCAGATTTAAGAAACAGAGTATGGACATGAGATTGTGGGCAGGTGATAGTGTGATACTCATGATAGTTCTTTTTGACTTTGTGGCCAAAGCAGCAAGATTTGTCTAAGTCATCGCCTCATGCACGAGGAAAACAAGTTTCTTAACAAACATATGTTGTTAAATTCTTATTGGAGGAAAATAATTATTTTTCGCGGATGCCGGATATAGTTCTACGTTCTGATGCCGCTGTACCGAGCGGTATCGAACTGCAGTAGCCGTAGTACTGACAAGTATCAAGCCGTAGTATAATAGTATAATAAAAGAGTGATGTGATGCATTTTATTGACCTCCTAAGTTCTTACAGAATAATTTTTCATTTGAGAAAAGATATTTGAGAAAAGGACTGTGTTTGAGAAAAGATAGAGCTGATGGGTTTTGGGTTTGAGGAGCCTCATTCCATTGGGCTAATGAAGAGGTTTTTGTTTATATCTAATTTGTCATTAACAATAAGACAAAATATTTCTCATTTACTCCGCCTTTTCGGATGTGAAGAGTTTTACTTCCTCCAATGCAGCTGGTTCGCTTTAGATCTAGCCGGGTGAGGTGGTTTTTTTGGCTCTTTTTTAAGAAAAAGTATTAATGGCTTGCGTAGGAATTTTTTGTCCGGCACCTGAGAACGAAGGCTACACAAGAATGAATGAACAGAGATTTTGTCTTGCGCTGCAATCATTATGTTCGATTTGCTTCCGTTTCTTTCTCACCTTTCTCTGATCGGATTGCCTAATAGCTAACTGAAGAAATTCCTTAGGAAGGGAACCGAAAGCTGCGATCATATTCGTTCTTATCCATCAATCGCCACCACTCCTCGTCCTGTCATGTCTAAAAATCGAATCTTGCTGATGTTCTTCCTGCTTTGTCTCCTCTACTTCTCTATCTCCGTCTCTCAGCAAGAGGAATTCATCTGCTATGGCTTCGCTGGCGGCGGGAGCATTAATGTGAGCCTGAATGGGGTTGCAGAGATCGAGGAAAGCGGGATCTTGCGGCTCACGAACAACACAGGACGAATCATTGGCCGCGCCTTCTACCCGCAGCCTCTCCGCTTCAAGAACTCTGAAGGCGCCGGCGAAGTATTTTCCTTCTCCACAGCCTTTGCCTTCGCCATCGTCCCCAACCCCGAGTACCCAACGTTCGGAGGCCACGGAATCGCCTTTGTGCTCTACCCGAACCGCGAGTTCCCCGGCGCCCTGCCCAGCCAATATCTCGGCCTGCTCAACTCCTCCAATAACGGAAATGCCACCGACCACCTCCTCGCCGTCGAATTTGACACTGTGATGGACTTTGAGTTCAGGGATATCAATGACAATCACGTCGGCGTCGACATCGACAGCCTCATCTCATCCAAATCCGCCGCTGTCGCCTACTTCGACGCTGACTCTGGTGCCCAGCAACCACTCAATCTCAAAAGCGGCCGCACCATCCAGGCTTGGATAGACTACGATGGCACCGCAAAAGTTCTCAATGTGACGCTTTCCCCTTTCTCCACAAAGCCCATTTCGCCATTATTGTCCGTTCCAGCCGATTTGTCCCGAATCCTTCACGACGAGATGTTCGTTGGCTTCTCATCGTCCACGGGCCTCCTCACGAGCTCCCACTACCTCTTAGGCTGGAGCTTCAAGATGAACGGCATGGCTCAATCGCTCGACCTCTCCTCTCTCCCCACCCTCTCCGAACTATCTAAACCCAAAAAGAAAAATTCCAAATTTACGGCCATCATCGCAACCCTTTCCACCACAGTTATCGTCCTCATGGCCGCCGTAGTCACCGCGTACCGCTTCTATTGCAGCAAGAACGCGGAGCTCATCGAGCCATGGGAGTTAGAACAGGGCCCTCACCGCTTCTCCTACAACGAACTCAACCGCGCCACCAAAGGCTTCGGTGACCGCGAGCTCCTCGGCTTCGGCGGCTTCGGCAAAGTTTACAAAGGCGTCCTACCTTCCTCCGGGGCCGAAATCGCCGTGAAACGCATCTCCCACGATTCCAGACAGGGAATCCGGGAATTCGTAGCGGAAATCGGCAGTATCGGTCGCCTCCGCCACCGCCACCTTGTCCAACTCCAAGGTTGGTGCCGCCGCAACGGAGACCTCCTCCTAGTCTACGACTACATGCCCAACGGTAGCCTCGACCGCTTCCTTTTCTCCAACGGAGCAACGCCGCCGCCTCCGCCGATCTCGTGGGTGCAGCGCTTCCGCATCCTCCGCGGCGTTGCCTCCGCGCTGCTCTACCTACATGAGGAGTGGGAACACGTCGTCATCCATCGCGACGTGAAAGCGAGCAATGTGCTTCTCGACGCGAACCTAGACGGTCGGCTCGGCGACTTCGGGCTGGCGAAGCTCCAAGAGCACGGGGCCAATCCGGGCACGACGAGGGTGGTGGGGACGCTTGGGTACCTTGCGCCGGAGCTGACGCGGACGGGGAAAGCCACGACGAGCACAGACGTCTACGCGTACGGGGCGCTAATTCTTGAGGTGGTTTGCGGGCGAAGGCCGATAGAGCCTAAGGCCATGCCGGAGGAGCTTATACTTGTGGATTGGGTTTGGGAGCTTTGGGCACAGGGGAGATGGACGGAGATTGTTGACCCACGGCTCATTCATGATGGCTATGACGTGGAGGAGGCTGAGTTGGCAGTTAAGATCGGGTTGCTTTGCTCTCAGCCGGTTGCGGCAATGAGGCCGACGATGAGGGAGGTGGCGAGGTATTTGGACATTTGTAACGTGGCGGAGGTACCAGATGTTCCGCCGCTGCCGCCGCTGTTTTCGTCTCCCTACGCGGCGGCTGCAAGCGAGAAGGCGAGGAGGGGCGAAACAGGGGAGGACTTTGTTCACTCTTACCCGTCCTCTTGTTCGGACAAAGTGTCGGGTGCATCCCTCGCCACTGGCTGGGGGGATGGCCGGCGAAGTGGGACCCGCGGCCTCCTCCCAGGTTCAATGCCGAGTACAGAAAGTGCGGAAATTTATGAATTGAATGTTTCTTAATTGTATCATTTGCTCAAAAGTTTTTTTTTTTGGTGGATGAGTTTTTGAGCTCAGTATTCAGTGCATCATAATTGTCTCAAATTTATTTCTAACTGATATGCTAAAAGAGTTCAAGCTCAATTTTGATTCTTTTATCTTTTATAAGATTGCATTTTTTGAATCTAAATTTATTATAAATCATTAATTATTAATTATAAGTGCTGCTTGTTCTTGATGAATAACATTCATAAAATATTCACTTATATTCATTTCATCAAATAATTAAATAAAATTTAAAAAGTTTAACATATAAATAAATAATTTTTAATATTAATTAATTTATTCATTATATATATAAACATATTTATTTATTATGTAACAAAATAGCTTGTTAATAATTCAAAAAAATAGTTATTCTTGATAATTTAATTTCTTATTTGATAATTCATTTTAGATTTTTTTTGTAAATTTTAAAATTTTGTTCAATTTCAAATTTTTTTTATATTTTTAGATATATAAATGTTATTGAAAATATCAAACAAGTAACTAAAGATGTAGATTAAAATTATTTTTATTAATATTTAAAATTCATATAAATTTTAAATGATATTTATTTAGTTATGTTTGATTGTAAGTTTATATGTTTAGATCATTAACATCAACTATATAATTAGATTCAGTTTATTTAAAGCTTAATTATAGCATATTACTTGATGAGAAATTTAACACATTCAAAATTAAGCTTCGTTTGGGTGAGTTTTCTTAATAAATTTTTGTACTAAAAGGATGCTTTAAAAATATTAAAAGTTATTTCAAACTAGAGAAATTATTTTGTACAAAGACCGGACGCAAAACGTCATTCGGAGACCAACTAAAATTATCACGTCAGTGGTACCCAGCTGTATTAAGCCGCGGTACCGAGCAAAGGGGATGACATGACGCAATCTGGTTGGTCTCCGAACCGCATTCGACGTCTGCATAGAATAATTAATCTCCAATGAAGCCTTCAACTCAACTCAAATGTGATAAAAAAAATTAAATGAAAGAGCTTGAATGATGTAGTAGCATTGATTGATGAATTAAAATTATTTTGGAATGATGTAATACTAGAGATAAGCATAATAAGCAAACTCTTTCAATGTAATCCATTGTCAAGTGGGCAATTAATTATTTTTTCAACTAATTTTATGTTATCCAGATGGAGTACAAATGAAGAATTAGTTTGTCAATATTGCATGGAGCTGAGCAAAGCATCCAAATCTTCCTTATTGAATCAGATTATCCTCCAACACAATTTTGTGGATGAGGTATTTTCTACTTATTATTCTTAGATTTGGTAAGGAATTATAGGTATATTAATACTAAACACAATTTTGTGGATGAGGTATTTTCTACTTATTATTCTTAGATTTGGTAAGGAATTATAGGTATATTAATAGTTATCTTAGTGGTGTACTAATCTTATTTTTCCTAATCTTAAGGTATGATTTTTCCTTGCTTTTGAGATATAAAATGTACAATCAAATATTAATTATAATTAATAGTACCATAAATTAAAATTTAATTATCTATATTAAAATAATAATATTGAGAAAGTTATATTACTAGAATATGCTTTTTTTAGTATTTATTAAAACTACTATTTTTGTCATATTAGATATTGAGTACATGTGTCATTCAAATAATTATTTAACTTTTTCAAAATATAAATAGTAGATTTTCTTAAGTTTTTGTATTAGCTTTATATTGTTTTATATGATGATTCTAATGAAAAAAAATTAAGACCGCAATGTTGACCTCAATTCTTTTTGAAAAAAGTTGGGAATATTCTTAAATTGTCAATATGCCTCCTTAAAACTTTTTTTTTGCTACACTAGTGTTAAAAGATAAATTATTTTGTGCGGAGACTGGACGATCCGGATGCCAACCAAAACGTATCATGTCATCTAGTATCTAGCGATACCCAGCACCGGTACTGAGCAGAAAAATAATAAGGTGCGTCCTAGTTGACATTCGGACGGTGTCCGATGTCCACATAATAATTTATTCTTCAACCCTCACTTAACACCAAAGGTTGAGAGCCATCATGGATGATTGGTGCTATTTGAGATGGCTTCTTGTTGCATTGGGCTACTGAGACTTGATAAACTATCACTAATTGCAATGGTTAAAACTAATATTAAGTTATTGCAGTGATTAAGATTTCGCTTGGGGCGGTTTTTTTATTGCTTCTTAAAACATCTTTTTAGTAAAAAAATTAAAAAATTTATATTCAAAAGTTATTTTAAGTAGTAAGAAAGTTGTCCCAAACGAAAACTAAAATTATTGTAAATCTAATGCTTTGAGAAGTTTTTTTTGGATAATTTTAATCGCTATGAAAGAATATCTTAGTAGGTAATATTCGCAATATAATAAATAAATAAATAAAATATTATTGTAGCTGATTAAAATAACTAAAAAACTTAATAGGTAGATATTTGAGCTAAATTAGGCCCCTTCATCATTAAATCAAAATTTTGAGATATATTATTTGAATTATTTATAAGATATTCAACTTCAAACTATAATAGCATTTACTTAAAAATTGAGACACTATCAATCAGAGGACGAAAACATGCTACAACTTGTAAACATTTTATCATACTCATTTGATCAAAATCAAAAGAGTGAAAATTATATTTGGCCTATTAAAAAAAAATTGATCTATGGTTCAACTTCCAAAGAGCTGTGAATACTTAAAGCACAAGAAGATCATTCATAGGGGTGTCAATTTGGGTCAACGGGTCGGGTTCGAGTCGAACCAGGAACTGACCCGGCACTATTCGGGTCAACCTGAACCCGATCTGTTTTTAAAAACGGGTCAAGTTTTTGGACTCGAACCCGACCCGATTCGGGTCCGGGTCAAGCCGACCCGACACGAATGACCCGGGGTTGACCCAAAATTGCTAGTTTTTGGGTCAAAATTCGGGTCAATCTCGGGTTTTTGGGTAAAAAAAAACAGGTCAATCTCGGGTTTTCGGGTAAAAAATGAGTTTTCGTGTTACTTTCAGGTCAATTTCGTGTTGATGGGTCAACCCGAACCCGAATTTTTCCGGGTCGGATTTGGGTCGTGTTTCGGGTCGTGTCAAAAATTGACACCCCTAATCATTCATAAATAATAAGATTAAAACTTATACATTGTTCAAAAATAAAGACTAATTCAATTGATCAATACAATTAGACTCCACAAAAAAAATTAACAAAGACTATCATATAAGATAGCTTCCGTTAAATTATACTAGCAATAACCTTGATGTTGGTGTGATAAACATGTGTGGAAATGTGAAACACCTTTAAAAATTAAATTAAATTCTTAAATATTGAGGTGCATTTTAATGTAACAAATTTTATTACAAATTCCAAAGTTAAACTTGCTTGTACATGAGTGCCTTTAGGATGGATGGCCTCCTAAGAAATTAAATCAATGAGCTAAAACTAAGAGGTTATTAGACTAACACCGACAATATCTCAATAGTCAAAAGCTTTGAGTCTTACAAATGGCTTAGAGCAATCCAACAATCAAAAGATGAAAACTCTACCTTTAGATTCCTATTTGAAACCTCATAAGAAAATAAAGCTAAAATCTGTAACGGTTGAAATTAGAAATTTCAAAATTAAGCGTGCTTGTACATAAGTGCTCCAAAGAAGGGTGACCTCCAGAAAAGTTACATTAAATGGATAAAACTGTGAGACTATTAGGCCAAAACGAATAATATCTTAATAATTGGAAGTTTAGGCTATCATAGGAGATCAGAAAATAGTGTCAGCTATTATAGCTAGAGTAGTGTGCTCCGTTCTGCGATCATTCAGAGAGGAGTCCGAGTGTTCCATTCGGACGTTTAGGGAAGAAGCACTTAGAGAAGATAGAATGAATTCTGCATTAGCATGTATAAGCAGGGAAATACATTTTGTATAGCTGAAGAGTCTACAAGGCCTTCCCATATATACATAAGGAAATTACTGCGTAATATGATTACTAGGCAGTGAATCAACAGTTTTGGCAGAGAAAAGTGGCTCCTCCAAGGGGAAAATTATTATGTGTGGCGTCCGGATTCGTCCGGATGCGCCACGTCAATCGGACCCCGGTGCGTCCGGGTGATGTGGCGTGTCCGGATTCGCTTCCAGACGATCCGGACACCGCACGTAATAATCTCTCCCTCCAAGGACCAGAACAATGCTGAAGAAAAGGACAGGTTGCTGGTATTCACATAATTCCATAACTAGTATTCAATATAAGTGAAATTGGCAATTAATTGAAGAGCTAACAACCTAATCCAGTGATCTCTGATCACCATTTGTCATGCAACAGAGTTGACAATGGTCAAGGGAGGGAGGGAGAATAGATTTTTTATTTTTTTACTTTTTGTTAGCGAGAGATTTGAACCACCCTTCGTCTCTTCATTAAAAACAGAGAGGAAAAGACATTTGACAGCTTCTATTCACCTTCTGAACGAGCATAGAACAGGACATAAAATGTGACGATGGTGAAATCAAGATTTTAAAAAACATCAGTGAAGTAAATATTTCATCCAATATCTATGACATTAAGAGGAATTACCTCAACTCTTGAGGACGAAGGCTACCTCCAACACCACCTAGTTCCAGAGCAGCTCCTCCGAGGGTAGCAGATAACTCCGGTATTGCTAGAGATCCAATGAGAACAGCTGTGTTCAGTAGACATTTAATGGAAGATTGTAACTAGAAACAAAGCTAAAAACAAAGCCTTTTGGCGTGTGCTGACCAAGTCTACATATTCGTGTTAAACAACAAGTCATCTAGGAGCATGAAAACAGCCAAAAATGAGTTGGGAGATATATCCCTGCTATATACAATTTGTGCAAGAAAATAAAATTGACAAAGAGCACAAGAAGATATGTCAGAGACCAAACCAGCTGAGAATGGAATCAAAAGCATTCAAGGCTTCTCTACTGTTCCTCCTGATCATCAATACGGTAGCTGCTGAGAATGATGAGTTCATTTACAATGGATTCGCCGGCGAGGATCTGTTTCTTGATGGCATCGCAAACATTGCACCAGATGGCTTGCTATTTCTGACCAACACAAGCAAGTATATGCAGAGCCATGCGTTCCACAAGAACGTGATCCAATTCAAGAACACATCAGATGGTAAGCTTAGCTCTTTCTCCACTTGTTTCGTTTTTGCCATTGTGACGGAGTATTCTGATGTTGGTGGCCACGGTCTTGCACTTGTGATCTCCCCAACAAGAGGTCGCCCTGGAGCACTCCCTGTCCAATACCTTGGCCTCTTCAATTCATCCAACAATGGAAATTCCTCTAATCATGTTCTTGCCATTGAATTGGACACCGTGGACAACATCGACTTTGAAGATATAAACAACAATCATGTCGGTGTCGATATCAACGGTTTGAAATCGGTGGCGGCTGCTCCAGCATCATATTTCCTGGAAGGAAATAAAGGGTATAAGAACTTGACTCTTCTCAGTGGGAAGCCTATGATTCTTTGGGTGGAGTATGATGCTCTGGAAATGAAGCTCAATGTAACAATCTCTCCAATTAATGTACCAAAGCCAAGTCTTCCCCTTATATCTCTGTCAATTAATCTCTCCTGGGTTATCTATGACGCTATGTACATTGGTTTATCTTCATCATCTGGTTCTGTCAAAACGTCTCATTATGTGTTGGGATGGAGCTTTAAACTAAACGGGAAAGCCCCTGGGCTCAATCTCACTAGCCTTCCTTCACTTCCATTACCTGAAGATGGAAAAAATAAAGCTTTAAATTTTAAGTTATACATTTTAGTTGTTGCATTTCTGCTCGTAACTGTCATTGGAATCGCATATGTCGTGGTAATGAAGATTAAGTATGCTGAAGTTCTGGAAGACTGGGAGGTTGAATACCAACATCATAGATTCTCATACAAAGACCTTTACAAAGCTACCAAGGGTTTCGAAGAAGATGAACTCTTGGGAATTGGAGGTTTTGGCCGGGTGTATAAAGGGAAACTCCCTATGTCAACAGCCAAAATTGCAGTCAAAAGAATACCCCACGATTCAAAGCAAGGGATGAGAGAATTTGTTTCAGAGATTGTAAGCATCAGCCAACTTTGCCACAAAAACTTGGTCCAGCTTCTTGGTTATTGCAGGTGCAAAGGGGAGCTCCTTCTGGTGTATGAATTGATGTCCAATGGAAGCCTAGACAAGTTCATCTTTGATGACTCTGAGAAGAAGAAACTTAACTGGAGACACAGGTTCGAAATCATAAAAGGCGTGGCTTCAGCGCTTTTATACTTGCACGAGGAGTGGGAAAAGGTTGTCATTCACCAAGATATTAAAGCTAGCAACGTCTTACTAGATGATGATCTAACAGCAAAAGTGGGGGACTTTGGCCTTTCAAGATTATATGATCGTGGAAATGATCCTAAGACAACTCATGTAATTGGAACCTTCGGTTACATTGCTCCAGAGCTCAACAAAAATGGCAGGGCAACTACCTCCACAGATGTATATGCATTTGGGGTATTCTTGCTTGAAGTTGCATGTGGAAGAAGACCAATTCTGCAGGATGCTTCACCAGATGTTCAGAATTTAGTAGACTGGGTATCAAACAATTGGAAAAGAGGGACGATTATGGATAGCAAGGATGTTAAACTGGGGACTGATTTTAGGCCAGAGGAAGTTGAACTGGTTTTGAAGCTTGGGTTGCTATGTTCGCAACCTTCACCTAATGTTAGACCAAGCATGCGCCAGGTGGTGCAAATACTAAATGAAATAACTACAGATGGTGCAGAAATTCAGTTATTCACAAATGGGCAATAGGAAAACTTCTCTAGCCCTAGAATATCATATCCATATTCTTAAGGCAGAATTTGTGACATAACTACAGGTACTGATACTTTCCACAGGAATCAGAATATACTAAGGTTTTCAATACCTAGCTGTTAGCTTGAAGAAACAGGTAACACGATATGTTCTAATGATTTCCTATTGCTAATATTTTTTGGTGGAATCATTCTTCAACTTTGTCAATTTAAACAATAAGAAGCATGTCACACCCCAAAAGCCTAAGAGGCTGGTTGGGCTTTATTCCACGACCACCATAATACTTCAATTTGTCACCACGATACCCCGTAAATAGAATCTGCTATATTTTTAATTACCTAGCTGTTCAGTTTGAAGAAATAGGCAACACAATCTGTTCTAATTGTAGAAAACAGAATAGAGGAATCTCTGTTATGGTTTATCTGAAGATGAGAATAATACCCCTTGTCTTTTCTCCATCTATTTCATTTTGTATTCCTTTTTGTATAGTGATACATACTGTTGTATTTATACTAGGATGAGTGTGTGTGCCCTTTACACGTGGATGCATATGATTGTATAAGTTTGTTACCTCCTACGGAGGTGAGAGAAGGATCAAGTCTAATGGGATTGTGTCCTTGCTGTGGTCGTGTTTGATTTATGCTTTTATACCCCCGCAATGTGATGATCCTTTTGGAAAAGGTATAGTAGCTCGAGGTTGACTTCCTGGTGGATGGATCTCCAGCCCAATGCGCATATGAGTAGGAGGTGAGGCTGAGGGAACCATTGGAAATTGGACGGCCAAGATGCAATGTTCCTTTGAGGTAGCGTAACAGCCAGTTGAGGAGGTAGGTGTGAGTGAGTTGAGGTTGATGCATATTTTGACATAATAGGATAACAGGGTAAGCCAAGTCCGATCTGTTTATGTTTAGGTACTGTAGGGAGCCTATTATCTGACGGTAGGTATGAGGGTTGGTTAAATGTAAATCATAGGGATAATTGTAGGTAGTTTAGTACATGAGGGATTGGCTAGAGATTTGCAGGAGAGCATGTTGGTTGTGTTTAGGATAGATTTGGCATATTGGGTTTGAGAGAGGAAGAAGTGGTTGAAGTTGCATTCTATGGAGATGCCCTTGGCTTAGCCTAGGTTTTTCATATCAAATTGTTTGTGAAGCTACACAAGAGTATCATAAAGCATTGTATTGCTGTTACATGTAAGTAGGATGTTGTCAACGCACACCAGGAGGTATAGTTGAGTTCCATCTTTGGAGAGAGTGAGGAGCGATGGATCAGATTGGTTGGGCTTAAAACCAAGTTTATCGAGAGCTTCTAATAGTGTGTTAAACCACATCCTTGGAGATTGTTTGAGGCCGTATATTACTTTCTTGAGTAGGCAGACATATGTTGGAAATTGTGTATCTTCAAATACTTTCGGTTGCATCATATAAATGGTATCAGTTAAGGATCTGTGGAGGAAAGCATTTATGACATCAAGCTAATGAATTGGATAGTGTTTGGTGATGTCAATCATTAGCAGAGCTATTATAGTTGAGAATTTTGAGCCCGGATTGAATGTCTCAAGATAGTTCAAGCTATATTCCTGCTAGTTACCCTGTGCAACGTGGCGTGCTTTATACCTAGCAATCGACCTGTTGGGATGTAGCTTGGTACTATATGTAAATTTGCATCCCAATATCGGTGTTTTGGTTTGAGGTGGGACAAGAATCAATGATGTCCCTTGCTACTGAAGAGCTAAGAATTCGTGGGTCATGGCTATTCTCCAATGAGGAGACTTGCAAGCATCCGCATAGCTAGTTAGGTCTAGTGACTGATTTTTAGTGGTAGAGGATTGATGATGGAGTAGATTGAATATGGTTCATGGCTTGAGGGAGCCTTTTTTGAGGTGAAATTGATGTTGTTGGTGTGGTGGGATCATCGGGAAGAGTTTGTGGATGTGGGAGTTAAAAGAAAGGGATTGGAGTGGGAAGATTGAGGTGGTTGAGAAGTTATGGATGATTGTTTGAACGGGAAGGTGAGTTTGTCGAATGTAATATGACGTGAGATAAGAACACGATTGTTTAGTGGATTCAGACATTTATGACCTTTGAATGAACTGGAGTACCGGAGAAAGACACATGGTATGAATTTTAGGGCTAGTTTGTGTCTTTAGAATGGCAGAATCCACAGGAAATAACTGCAGCCGAATATGCGTAGACTTGAGTAGTCTGGAGGTTGGTTGTATAGCATTTGGAGAGGAGATGTATGAGGGGATAGTTTGGACGATAATCTGTTTATGAGGTATGATGTTGTGAGTACAGCATCAGGCCAATAGTTGGAGGGAACCAATGCAGTGTGCAAAATGGTCCGAGTTGTTTCCATAAGATGCCTGTGATTTCTCTCGGCTACTCTGTATTGTTCAGGAGTGTAAAGATAGGATATTTGGTGGACAAGCCATGTTATTGTAGGTAAGATTTGAGATTGTGATTGAGATATTATGTACCTCTATCCAATCGTAGACATTTAATGGTGTGAGATAGTTGATTCTCAAGCATGGTTTTGAAGTTAATGAATATAGTTGTAACTTCAGATTTATGAATCGTTGGAAAACACCCAAAATAATCGTGAAAAATCGTCAATAAAAATGACACAATATTGATAACCTTGATTCGAGATAATAGGGGAGGGACCCCAATCCATACATTCGTGTAAATAAGCTCAAGTGGAGTAGATGAGCAAGATACAGATTTTGAAAATTTTAACTTGTGTCCTTTTGAGACATTACATGAAGAACAAGAAAACAATAAGGCAGTAATATTAAGGTGTTTGTGGCTATTGGAGATGTAGCGAAGAATCTGATGGTGAGGATGGCCTAGTTGATTGTGTCATAATGAAGATGATCGGCTGGTTGCTATTAGAGCAATTTGACCATACGAGGGGATGGATGTTTGAAGGGGATACAGCCCGTTATGGCAGGGACCTTTGAGAAGAACATGATGGTTCTTGGAGTCCTTGATGACGAATCCAAAGGCATCAAAGGAAATCAAAATGTTGTTATCCTTGGTTAATTGATAAATGGATAGGAGATTATTCGAGAAATTTGGGATGTGGAGTAATTGAGTTAAGAGGAGCTTACGAGCTGGGGTGGGAAGTAAGCCATCACCGGTATGGAATATTTGAAGGAACTGCCATTTCCGATTGTAATTGAATCTGAGACTTGGTATGCTGTGGGATGATGTAGATTGTTAAGATGGGATGAAGCCCCTGAATCCAAGTACAAGTCTGGATTTGATGATTCTGTGGATGTTAGTATGGCTTTCAATTGATTGGAGGTTTGAGGTGGACTGTAGTTTAAGTTCAATCTGTGCCAGCATGTGGATAATGTGTGTCCCCTTTTGTTACAAGTTTGGAAGGTAGAAACAAGAGCTTGATGAGACCTGGGATTGGTCGGTGATGATCGTCCTCATCCTCTTCATCTGCGATCGTGATATGAGTACAGGGCTAGTGCAGGATCTGCTAACTGCTGGTGACGTAATGATTCAGCTTGTAGATTGATTTCTTCACTAAGTAGAATAAAATAGAGATCTTCTAGACTTATTGGGTGAAGCATTGTTCGTATAGATGTCTGGAATGCTTGGTAGAAAGGTAGAAGTCCATTAAGTGTATATAGTATGATGTCTTCTACATTAATGGTAGCTCCTGCCACAGCAATCTTGTCGACAATGGATTTGATTTCGGTGAGATACTGAGTCATGGTGGTATTGTGTAATTCATTTTTAAGTTGGATAACTCTGGATATGTTTAAGGCTTGTAATCTTCTTTCTATGGTAAGCCAAATGGCATAACATGTCTCGAGATTCAAAACATATGGAAGGATGGATGGGGTTAGGGTAGAGTAGATAGCTGCTGCTAGATTCTGATCTATCAGAATCCATTCGGTGTATTTGGGATTGATGAAAGTTATACCATCAGAGGACTGAGTCAATCGGGGCGGAGGAGTAGCTATGGATTCGAGGAATGCAGCGAATCCGTTCGCGCAAAACAGTTTTAGGACTTGCAACCGCCACACTAGATAATTTTCATTAGATAACTGAACTGGAACTATTGTTTTAATGTTTGCAATGACAAATTTGAGTGATGCTGGAATGGAAAAATTGTCGATGACGGGTTCTGTGGAGGGGTCGCCGACTTGAGAGGAAGAAGACTAAGTCATCTGCGACGTATCTTGCTCTTATGCCTGCCCTGATATCATGTAGAAAATAGAATAGAGGAATCTCTGTTATGGTTTATATGAAGATGAGAATAAGACCCCTTGTCTTTTCTCCATCTATTTCATTTTGTATTTCTTTATGTATAGTGATACATATTGTTGTATTTATACTAGTGTGAGTGTGTGTGCCCTTTACACGTGGATGCATATGATTGTATTAGTTTGTTACGGTGGTGAGAGAAGGATCAAGTATGTTGGGATTGTTTCCTTGCTGAGGTCGTGTTTGATTTCTGCTTTTACTAATGATCTCCTACTTCATTTCTCTTTCGTAGGATCATGCTTCAAATTTGCCAATCCATTCAATATAAATCATGTTTCCCCAATAGTCCGAGGAGTAGATTGGTTTCAAAAAGCAGTGGTTCATGATACCAAACTCATCAGTCACATTATTACATTATACAAGACATATTTTCCATTAGAAGGAATAGAACCTATTCCATATAGTTTCCCTAATAATAAGGTGGGAATACCAAATACAAATTTAAACCCATGCAGTTATTTAGAGAAACTTTTCATGCTATAATTTTAGGATCAGTTATCAGAGATTTAAGCCATAAAAATTCAATAGTATACCACTTGGGCCATCGGTTTTAATTGTATAAGATAAATTATATCTAAGCAATAAAAATTCAATAGCATACCACTTGGCCCAACGGTTTTAATTATATAAGATAAATTTTGAGAATAGTTCAACTATGTTGTGGAAGGCTTTGAAGTGAATATTTACCTTGTGGATTTGAAAGTTTCTTTACCTTTGTGTGATGAA